CAGCACAGTACTCAGCACAGTACCACCTGATTTGGCTGCCTTGAGGGAAGGTCCTGGCCAACCCCATTGCTCTATCTCTTCTGGTCCAGTGCCCCAGGGCACTGGTCCAGGTCTCCCTCTCTCCACCCCTCCTGACTGGCCCCACTGGCCCTGCCTGAGGGAATCTCCTGTGACAGCAGTTCAGTCAGGCACCCTTTCCTTGCTGGCTCGGGTGGCCGGCTGTGCCCTCTGGACCGCGTCCTTGCTGTGCCGGGTTATAGAGGAACTTGCACCTGCCTGAGAGCCGTGACGGGACAGCAGTGCAGGGTGGGACCGATTTCCCCAAGGCTGGCTTCGCTTAGCCACGGTCTCTGCCCCTGGCCCAGCCCACTGCCCACAGCGCGGAGGCTGACACTTCAAGGTGGGTGATTCTGCTTCAGGACAGGCGAGGCTGGTGCCGCTGCCTTTGGAACTGGCCGGCTCTCTGGCCACCAGCTCACTCCCCAGCCAGGGCGGTGGGGCTCGGGGCCCCCCCTGGCTCCCCACCAAGCCCAGCTTGCACACATTCAGTGGGGCAGCCAGGGGCCCCTCTTCTCCACCCTCAGAGAAGGGTCAGGGACAGGCTGGGTCAGGGGATGGGCAAGCGGGGGTGTGACGGAACTGACCGCCTGCCCCCAGGGACAACAGACAGGGCCCTAGGGCAGATGTGGCCTGGCGGGTGAAGGCAGGTGGCAGGTACGTGCCACTGGTAATAACAGTGGCGAGAAGGTTGTGAACAAGCTGCACCACCCCACACTCACCATAACCCCGGGTCAGCCGGCCTCCCCACCCAGGGTGTAGGTGGTGGCCTTGGAATCGAAATCCTAGCCTGTTTGAATACAGTGACCAAGTCTCAGCTGCCAAAGTGTTGGCAAGATAACAGTGATGACGCCAGCCACGTGAGAGGCGACGGCATGGAGATACTGCGGTTTGGCTCCAGATAATAAAGCAAATACTCCGCAGCGGGAGCGCCGTTTATGGCCGGGCGGTTTCTCAGGGCGGAGCGAGCTCTGCCCGGTCTGAGCGAGCAGCAGCTCCGTGGCCAGGCCACGCCAGCCTTCCTCCCTGGGTCACGGGATGGGTGGGGAGTGGCCGCTGCCGGGAGGTGGCCCAGGGGACTTGCCGGGTGCAGGGTGGCCTCAAACCTTGCATTTGCAGCGGGCGTGCTCAAGGGCGTGTGAGGGAGGCCTGGTCCCCCGCGCCGAACATGAGGGTGAGAGGACACGAGCAAGGTGCCAGAGGAAAACGTCTGTGGTACGGGAGAAAGAGGGGCGGGAGGGGAGGGCCCGACGGGCCGGGCACGAGCGCTGACCCACCGGTCCGGGAGGGCTGCTGTTCCTGGGCTGCCGGTGGTTCCCGGGCAGCTCTCGAGCCATCACCCGCCAGAGCTGCCCACCTGGAGTCCCTCCTGCTTCCTGGTAGGGCAGCTGCGGGCACGAGGCCTCGGGGCAACCTCCCCCTCAGGAGTCACGGGGGGCTGGGTCTGCGCCCCGCAGGCCCCGGGGTCAGACGCCCACCGGCGACACGCTGGCACAGGCTTGTGCATTTTCTCATTTAAACCTGGAAACAAATGAGAGCTCCAGGTGCGCTCCGTGCCCCATTTGCAGACGAGAAAATCAAGTGGCGATAATGAAAGTGGTCCCAGTGCACACACTGGAAAGGGCCCAGTGGGGAAGGCAGGTCAGCAGGCAGCGCCCGGCCAGTCAGTGCTAACCGCCACTGCGCCCAGCCCCAGGCGGCACATGGTCACACAAGGCTGCCGGGGCCGCGGCGAGACCCCCAGCTCCCCCAGGGCCTCCCCATCACCCCACTGTCTTCCCCACTGTTTGTGTTTTACCTGGAACTGGCTTTTGTGCCACGACAGAAAATATGCCAGCTGGAGCCCGAGGGGCGAGTCAAGGTGGACCTGGTGCTGCGGGCGGCCGAGGCTCTCTTGCTCAGCTGCCACGACCTCCAGAAGCCCGAGATCCTGGCCCAGCTGAAGGACATCAAGGCCCAGTGGGAGGAGACGGTCACCTACATGACGCATTGCCACAGGTAGGCCCTTGCCCGGCCTCGCTCCCCTGACCCTCGTGCCCACCGTCTCCTGGCCGGGCCGCCGCCCGAGGGAGGCCTCTCCAGCCCGGGACTGCAGGAACAGGATGTTCTCTTGGGCCGGGGCCAGCCCTGCCTGCTTCTTTGTCATCATAATCGAGCCTAATAACATAATAGCCATCGTGTGCTGCCAGCAATGAATCTAGCGGCCATGGCTGTGTGTGGAGCCGGATGACAGAACCGTCCTGGAGGAGGAAGGCTGCTGCCCTCCTGCAGTTTCGCCCAGATTCTCTGCCGGCCCGAGGGCGGGGCGGGATCGGGGGTGGGGGGCGGCCTGGGAGTGCCTCTGGTTCTGCTGTGCACGCTGGGATAAGTGAGCCTCAGGCTCCTCCTCCGGACAGCATCTAATCAGGGGCCCCTTGGAGACCTGGGGAGGTGACAGGGGCTAGGGCACGTCAAGCGGGGGTCACTGTGCTGGCCCACAGTCAGCCCTCGGGAAGCAGGAGCTGCCAGCACCCGCTCCATCCTGAAACCGGGATGCCGGGGCGACTTCCTGCTCGTCCAGCCCCTTCCCCTGGAATTCCAAACAAAAGTGCTGTGTTGGCTGGCCAGATGGGGCCGTCGCCACGTTATAGATGGGGAAACTGAGGCACAGGAGGAGGCAGGGTTGCCAGGAAGCTCATGGCACCCCTGGAACCCACACACCGCCACCCGTGCTCCCATCTCACACCACACCAGCCTGCTGACCGTGGCTCCCGTGCCTGGCCCGTGCCCAGCACCCGGCCTCCTGCCCGCCATGGGCCGTGACGAGCCGGCAGACGCCGTCATCAGCATGCTCCCTGCCCTGAGCCTCGCTCTTCTGTGGGCCACAAGGGTCAGAGCCCAGGCGGCCCTGTGGACTACCCCAGAGAGAACAACGGGGGTTGACTGGCGACTGTGGGAGTTTAGGGCTAGGGCTTGGGGTGCTGTGGGCTTGGGGGTCCCCAGGCTGTGTCAGGAGTGCTGGTAGTTCTTAGACCTGAGCCCTGATCCTCAGAGCCACCCTAGGGCCAGCTCTACCGGTCAGAGGAGTCGGCTGGGCCCCCGCCTGAGTGTCAGCAAGCCTCCTGGGTGACTGAGGCCCCGAAAGGGCATCACCGTGCCCCCGACCTGCAGCCCCCAGTTCCGGGGAGGGGGGCAGCCGCCTGGCGCCCGTGCCTGCAGGGCCCTCACGCCAGGCCTCTGCCCGCAGCCGCATCGAGTGGGTGTGGCTGCACTGGAGCGAGTACCTGCTGGCCCGAGATGAGTTCTGCCGCTGGTTCCAGAAGATGCTGGTGCTGCTGGAGCCCCCTGTGGAGCTGCAGCTGGGCCTGAAGGAGAAGCAATGGCAGCTGAGCCACGCCCAGGTGCTGCTGCAGCACGTGCACAGCCAGGCGGTGCTCCTGGACCGGCTGCTGGAGGAGGCGGGCTCCCTCTTCAACAGGACCGGGGACCCCAGCGTGGACGAGGACGCCCAGAAGAGGATGAAGGCCGAGTACCACGCGGTGAAGACCAAGGCCCAGGTGAGCGGCGTGGGGACGTCTCCTCCCCTCCGGGGCGGCCGTTACTGCTCTTTAAGCAGCCCCCACTCACGCACGCCCGACCCCCACCATCTACCACCCCCCAACCGCTGTCTGCCACTCCTCTGGCTGTCGCTCCACCGAACCCCCTCACCAGCACCCCCCAGCCCTCTGACCTACTCAGCCTTTGCTCCCCACCCCCATTTCCTCCCGCTTCGCCTCCCACCAAATCGCCAGGTCCGTGGCTCCACGGCCGCTTACTCAGGCAGCCTCCCACCACCTCGCCGGCCTGCCCGCCGGCCACCCGCCTGCTGGCTCAGCCATGTCTACGCTTTTCATTACGTGACCCAGTGTATCAGAGGCCACTTCCCGCGTCAGGTCACTACGACAGGTACCGGTGCTGCACCCAAAGCCCTGAGCCCTGGCAAGCCCCGCTCTCTCCCTCGCCCGCGCCCTCGGGCCGACGTCCGGCTGCCCCCGGCCAGCCTTCCACTCTCCACCCTCCGCTGACCCGCTCCCCACATCCATGCACCCCGTGTCGAACACACACGGGGGCGCTCAGTCCCTGCGCTGACCAGCTAATGGAGGGGGCTCATCGCACCCGCCTCCCCTCCGTGGCCTCAGCGACCCTGACCGCTGCCCCGGGCGGCACCTCCAGTACCATGAAGTGGGGCTTCGGGTCCAGCATGTGTGTTGGGGAGGGCGCAGTTCAGACTGCTGCAGGTGGAGCGGTCCAGACTTGGCCTTTCCTCAGTGGGGACCCCACGCCACCCCGCCATCCTTTTACCTGCTAGCCATATTGTCACCTCTGAAAACCCCTCTTGACACTGACATGTTAACCAGCAGCCGCCCTGGGGCAGGGCGGGGGGCACCTGTGGACGGGTCCTCGTGCCCACCCCTGGAGGAGCGTCTCCCCAGAGCAGCGGACACGGGACTCCGCCAGAGGAAGCCTGAGAAGTTGGAGCAGAGGGCCAGCTGGCTGCCGGCACCCTGCCTGTTTATTTGGTTTGCTGTTGTTAATCCTCGGTTCCGTTTTCTGAAGGGCCAGGCCATAGCGCCCCTTCCCTGTGCCCCAGGCGGCTGGCCCGGGGGTGGGCAGCACACCAGGGCCCCCACCCCCAGCCTCTGCGGAAGCATCAGTCCCTGCGCCCTGGTGATCGGTCAGGTTCTGACACTCCTGCAGGCCCTGGCTGCCTACACTCGAGCCCGCTGTTTGGGCGGAGGGGAAGGTCAGGCGCCTCCCATCTGTCACCTCGCTCCGCTTCCCCACGCGGCCCTCGCGGCCCTCGGCTGCAGCTGAATTGTGCTCTGTGACCCCGGGCCTGGCACGGAGCTCAGCTGGACTCCTGCCCTGCTCGGCTGCATTCCCCCATCACCAGCCCTTTATTTACTCTGGATTTCCGCAGCCTGACGGCTCCTCGCTCACACGCACAGCGCTCCCCGCCCCCAGGCACCTCATTGAAGAGTCTGCTTCCCTGCACTTTATCACCTGTCACAGTTTACAGCTCGCTCGCTCTTCCTGCCGCTGGGCTTTTCCTGGGCGGGTTGTGATGGATGCAGATAATCCCAAGGGAAGAGAGCTGCAGGCCTTGGTCTGGTCTCCAGCTGGCTGCCCTGGTCCTCAGCAAGGACTGCTCCTGGGCCTGCTTCCTGCCTCTAAAATGGGAACATTTTCTCTTACTTGCAATGATTGTTGCAAAGGTTAATATTTTTCCATTTGTAAGGAGCTTCTCTGGGGCAGGGAGGCAGACACATATTCTCCTCCCGTCTGTTGACCCCGCCCCTTCGGGGACTGGTGACCTAGCCTCTGCCTGGCCAGGGCAGTTCCTGGACGTGGCCGGGCTCCGAGGCCATCAGCTGAAGCCAGCAAGTGAGGCCCACGGCCCACCAGCCCAAATATTGGGGGTGGGGGTGGGGGTAAAAAGCAGAGTCTGATGACGCCAGGGAGTGCTGTAAAATTCAGGTGTTAGTGTCCGTGCCTGCTTTTCTTGGCCACCCTCGTCTGCTTGGCCCGTGTGTCCACGGCTGCTCTGCGCGTGACCTTAGCAACACAAAACCGGCTGAGCCGTGCGCAGAATCACATGGTGGCCGGACTGCGACACCCCTGCATGACAGGGTCAGCCCGCACCCGCGGCCCAGAGCAGCGATCTTCACCTCTGACTCTGACTTCTGCTGCTAAGTCTTGTCTGTCAGGGTTGCAGGAGCTGAGCGAGCTCCCAGCACCAGTGTGGCCACCTGTGGGAGGGCGGCCCCTGGCTGCTGTGGAGGGCGAGGAAAGTGCCTGTCAGCCCCAGGCACATGGCAGGCGCTTAGCAAGTGGCAGTGCCCCTCTGGTGCTCCTGGGAGGTAAAATGCACCACGCAGGCAGTCGGTAGGTTGCCCCAGCAGGTGGCAGTGCCATCCAGAGCCATTAACTCAGCAGAGGAGGTCACGGTGACCAGAGCAGATAGTAGCCAGCCAGGCCGGGGCAGGGATGGGTGTGACAAGAGCGCCCTGGGGAGCAGGTGACAGCAAACAGTGATTTCTCACCAGCTGCCTGCGTTGTCCGGGCAGTAGGGTGACACTCCAGCCCTCTGTACCCCAACGAGCAGGTCCTGCCTTGGCATAGAGCCTCTGCGGCAGAGGGGTGCCTGAGGCGCCTGAGGGGGGCCAGCGGTCACGTCACAGCACTGGGCTCCCAAGGCCAGGCCTTGTCCACGGGACCACAGACCCGCACCCTGGGGTCCTGCCCTTGACTTCCAGGCCGTGAAGTTCAGTGCAGAACCTGGGGGAGTAGGGAGTCGTCGGGGTTTAAAGAAAAGGTGCTGTATCGTAGCAAATCAGAGAGCCAGGCACACAGTGGGTCTCACAGTGAGAACACCGTAAACTCCCGAGCGCCGGCCACCCTCAGGACACCCTCTCCTCCCCGTGTGGGTGGCACTTCCGTGGGACCGTGTCACTGAGGAAGGGGCCGCAGCCCGTCGACGGTGAGACTGGAGCAGCCTCGGTCTCGAGTCTCAGTGGTCCTCGGGCCAGTGACCCGGGCAGGCCACTTGGCCTCCTGTGCCTCGGCTTCGTCGCCCCCCACCCTGGGTGGCAGTGACACCGCCTGTGCTGGCCAGGCGTGTGTAATGAGGCGCAGTCACATGACATCTATAACGCGTGCCCAGCACCCGTGAGCACCCAGTCACGGCGTGATGGCCTGGCGCCTGCTCCCTGTCTTGAGCACCCTCCGCGGGCGTGGAGGGAGAGGAGGCCAGCTGCGTCGTTGGCAGACACAGCACTGACCGACGCGCTGTGCTGTCCACAGCCAGGAGTTTCTTGGCTCATTGCTGATAAGGCAGAGGGAAGAGGGAGTTGTCTCCCGCGAAAGGGTGGAGTTGACTGGGTCCTAGACCTCCTGCGCACACAGGCACCCACGCACACCCGTGTGCACACACATGTGTGCACAGGCACCCATGCACACCCGTGTACACACACATGCACGCACAGGCACCCACGCACACCCATGCATGCACCCAAGGCCCTGGCGCACACAGCACACATACTCAAGTCTGCACCTGCACACTCACACACACATGCAGATTCACGCACACATAACACTCATGTACACACACGCACACACATACTCATGTACACAAAGCCCTTGTGTACAAACCACACACTCATGCATGCACCGGCACACCCCCACACACATGCAGATTCATGCACACATAGCACTCATGCACATACTCGTGTGCATATGCACATCTATGTACACATACTCATGCACACATGCAAAATCACACACATAAGTACTCATGCATACACATGCACACCCACACACTCTCACACATGCACACACACTTATGTACACACACTCATGCAACGTGCTAATTTATGCACACATAGCACTCATGCATGCACATGCACATGACACACTCGTGCACACACTCGCACATGCAGACACTCGTGCATGTACACTCACACCTGCACATACACCTATGTACACACACTCATGCACACACGCAAATTTGTGCACACATAAGTACTCATGCGTGAACATGACACACTTGTGCGTGCACACACACATGCACACGCTCATGCAGACACTCGTACATGTACACACACATGCACACACACCTAGCACACACATTCATGCACGCACCGGCATGCACACATACACACTTGTGCACACCCATGCATGCTCATGCACACGTGCAAAGTCATGCATACACACAGACTCACACGTACACATGCACATACACACTCATGCCCACACGTATACATGCATGCACACAGAAAAAAGCCTCGAGGCCTAGAAGAACCGTCATGGCCACTGACTCTCCCCTCTGCTCCCACAGGATAGGGTGACCCTGCTGGAGCAGGTGACCCGGGAACATGAGCACTTCCAGGCGGGCGTGGATGACTTCCAGCTGTGGCTGAAGGCGGTGGCGGACAAGGTGAACGGCTGCGTGGGGCGGAAGTGCTCGCTGACCGCGGAGCACCGTCTCTCTGCACTGCAGGTAACGCGAGTCTCCACCCGCCGCGTGGCGCTTCTGAGCAGCAGTTGATCTAATGGGATGATGCCAGCATCCACCATGCAGCCCCCCACGTGAGCTGCTGGCCCTCAAGCTCAATCTGATTGGGGCTTCGGCTGCTTGGTGGCGTCTCTAAGCCCAAGGAGCCTTTGGAAACCGGAGGCCACAGCAGGGGTCTGGACACTGGGCCTCAAATGGGGGCATTTGGCAAGGTCTGGGGACATTTTGGTGTCACAGCTGGGGATGGGGGTGGGGGAGCTGCAGGCATCTAGCGGCTAGAAACCAGAGATGCTGCTCAGCATCCTAGGGTGCCCAGCACACCCCCAAAACCTCAGTGTCAGTGCCTGGCGTGGGGGTGCTGGCTTGCAAGCAGGAGAGGCCAGGTTCGCTCTGGCCAGGAAAGGCTGGCTGTGCCCTTGACTTCTGAGCTTCTGATTCTCTCGGTAAAGTCAGTGGGTACATCATCTTCATAATTCAAGAGCCACTCTATGTATTTTTTGCCAGCACTATATAACACCTGTAAATTTCTTTAATATTTTCATTTCAATTAACTCACCTTTCAAAAATAAACCATGAACAGTGAATAGCCACCTTATTCACAAGAGCCTCCCACCCAAAACGTGTCAGTTTTGATCAGCAGAGCATTGGAGAAACCCACTGTAGACTAGACTCTAGATACAAAGGAAAACTCACTATAAAAGGAGTGAGCTACTGTGTGACCGCAGCATGGGAGGCTAAAACACCATATGCTGAGGGAAAGAGGCCACTTTCAGAAGACAGCAGTCTGTGCCACGGTGCAGTTCTAGAATCTTCGGGGATGTTAGCACTGTCCTTCATTTAGATAATGACGTGGACACGTGGGCATGGCGATTCTCAAAACTCTCGAATGGGTAGTCCGACGACTCCATGTAGATTACTCTTCAGTACGGCTCCACAACTCTTTGAAAGTCTTCTCAAAGAAAACACTTATAGGGGCTGACATGAAAATCAAAAACAATAACCTTGTGTGTAGAGGGAAAGCTGTCACGGTCATCAACAGGAAGCCAGAGCCCATTCAGAATTGCTAGACGGCCATGCAAGCGCTTATAGGAGACCCAGCGGAACCGTCGGGACACTTTCCCCTCCACCTAATTAACACCTTGACAAGGCTGACGTCCTCAGGTTTCCAGTCAGTTATGAAAGCAGACGGTTCACTGCTTGCCAGGCGCCTCTGGCTCCCCTGGGAATCCAGGAATTTGCGTTTCGTCTGCCTTTCCCGGGGACCATGCAACATGCAGCAGACGCTGTTTCCTTCCACCTCCTGACCCTTTAGGACATGGCCAAAGACTTCACCAGGTCTGAGGACTCTCTGAAGCAGCTGGAGGAGCAGGCTGCAGGGGTGATCCAGAACACCTCTCCTTTGGGTGCAGAGAAGATCACCGTAGACCTGGAGGAGATGCGGAACATGCTGGAGAAGCTGCGCGGCCTCTGGAAAGAGGAGCAGGAGCAGCTGCGGGGCCTGTCCACATCTGAGGGGGCCCGTGAGCTGCAGGTCAGGCAGCTGGAGGCTGAGCTGGGGCAGTTCAGGAAGGACCTGCAGAAGCTGGCTGAGGAGGGCCTGGAGCCGACAGCCAAGGCCGCCACCGAGGACCAGCTGGTGGCCC